AATTAAAATTAAAAAAAAAAAAAAAAAAAAGACAAAAGGGAGCGGGCTCCCATTTGTAAATGATGTGGGATCATTTTGATCTCACTTTGAAAATGTTTGAATTGAAGCATGTGCTCCTTCTCAACTAAAAGCTTAAGCTAATAGTTGGATCGCCCCCCGGTAAACCGTAATCATTACGAGAAATGCTCTTTAGTCTAACACTGATACCAAATTGAAGCATGTGCTCCATCTCAACTAAAAGCCTAAGCTGATAGTTGGATACACATTAATGGATATATGCTCACAGTTTGGAAAGATGATTTCTTGATCTCACTTACAAACATAATTGCTTGCCCATCAATGTGGGCAAGTATTGAGAAGTTCAATTTTTTTTTTTTTTTTTTTTTTTTGGTTTAGAAGTAAAGGAAAATTAAAAATAGAAAAGAAATATTTCAATAATAATATTTTACATAATCAAATAGTAAATGCATATTTTAAAAAATAGTAAAGGTAAATTAAAAATTGAACGAAAATATTTCATTAATAATATTCTACGTCATCAAATTAAAATGGAACGGAAATTAGGTAAAAATATCATTGCATCTATATTCTAATTGACTAATTTACTGAAAATAAAAAATAATAATTGACTAAAAAATGAATCTAATATTACTAATTGACTGAAAATATAAAAGGAAATGAATACTAATAATTGACTGCAAATAAAAAAATGATCCATAATTGACTAAAAAAATGGTTAGATCATTGCATTTTAATTTAAAATGGAATGAAAATTAAAAATTGGAGGAAAATATTTCAGTAATAGTAATTTACATTATCAATAGTAAATGCATATTTTAAACAATAGTAAGGTTAAATTAAAAATAGAACGGTAATATTTCAATAATAATATCTACATCATCAATTAAAAATGGAACGAAAGTTAGGTAAAAATATCACTGAATTTGATATTCTAATTTACTGAAAATAAAAAAGAATAATAATTGGCTGAAAATGAATCTGATATTACTAATTGACTGAAAATATAAAAGGATAACTAATTGAGTGATATTTTACCATTATATATTTTCACCCAAGTAACCCGTTTTGTTGGATTGAAGGTGTTAGCTCTAGACGAAAATGAACAAGATTGTGTTGCCACTAACAATGTTGTCTACAAAGAGGTTTCAATAATGTGTAAATATAATCGGTGATATTAAGTTTTTTTTTTTTAAATGAAAAAATTGTTATATATCTAGACAAAAAAATATATCTTCCATACAAATGAATAATGATAGCAATTAATTTCTATAACTGAGTTGTTAGAGAACGAGCACATTTTCCTAATTTACGAAAATACTAAACAATGATAAATAAAATCTTCAAAGTTATAGCACCGCATGCGTACATCTAGACATTAGCTATTAATTTGAGCAATTATTTGCACAAATACAAGCAATGATAACATCAAACTATATAAACGATCCAAACCATATTTTTAATTGCACTATATAATATTTCCAAATCATATCTTTAATTGCACTATATAATATTTGATGTTCTAATTTAAATAATTATATATCGATTCATATATTATTCTTAATATATTACAACAAATTCATTCCGTGCATCGCACGAGTGCAAATACTAGTTATTATAAAAAATGTTAAAGAACATAAATACATAACTGAAGAAAGAAGAGTTAGATTGACTAATGAATAATAAATATGACATGTAAAATAGGATAGTAAACGTATTATTATTGCAATATAGAATAAGAAAATACAGAAACGGCTCTTAAAATATAATATAATTGAGTTTTTTTTTTTTTTTTTTTTTTATTTTATTAAAATCAAAAGAAGGGGTGACCCGGAAACAAAACTAACCATCCATGATAGGAACCTCTCTGGCACTAGAAATAATACCCTATTTATTATCATCAATCCAACAAAACCTCTAAGAGCAAATGAGGGTCAGTGAGCACTTGCATACCCTGCCCTAGTTGTGGGGAAAACTTGTCAATAAAATCAGCAACCCATATTTTGTTCCCAAACAACTTCCATTGCTTTCTTACTTGCCGTTGACAAGTTTCAATCATATCCGATCCAAGATGAAATCCCCTCTGCTTGGTAACATAGTTAGCTTATCAGACAATTTTAGCTTAATATATTATTTGATTGACCACTATTATATGACTTAGTTAAAGAATCAATATAAGTGTTTGATTAATTAGTTTTTTTTTTTTTTAACAATTTATTTGCTTCAAAATACTAAAATTTAAAAGTGTTTTTTTGAGAAAACCTCATATCAAGTCTTGGAAATTATCCACATGCATCAATTTTCTTTACTTTTTAATTCTTTATAATCATAAATTTTACTCATAACATATATTATATTGTAATTATATACTAGCACATATATAATAATATAAAAGAAAACCCAAAAAGGGAGAGAGACGTGTCAAGTTTTGGATGAAAGGCCAATATAATTCAAAGAAAGATTAAGGATATGAAGTTGGAAAAGTAGATGTTGGTGAAGGGTGTGACTGATGAGCCCCGGCCAACCAACCAAAGAGCATGGGATGGATTAGGGTAGGGTTTCAAGGGTAACCCATTTCCAAATTATGTGTCCCCTTCATCAAATTTATGATTAAAGTTAGTGATTATGAATTATGATTATTCGAGTAATTCATTATCTATAACAATCCATGCATAGCACATGTTATATATAGCATATATTTTTAATAATGATGGAGAAATTAAAATAAGTGACATTACATGTGCAATGATAGTGCAAAATTATATTAGACCAAAATAAGATATGTGTTCACACTATGTTGAGAGAGTGGAGTGGACTTTTATCACTGAGTTTGAGTACAAAATAAGCGGTAAAGCTTAAGTGTAAGCTAGTGAGACGAAGAGATCAGATCGAAACTACAACATCGGACAACTCCAGTCCAGTAAATACATGAATGTAAATGATACAAGCAAGTCGATCAATAGAATGAGATGTGAGATGGACAGAAATGTGGCGCTAGAGATCAGAGCTATTTATAGTAGATTCAAGTTGCATATGTCATGATAACATCTTACAAATGGGCTGACACGGTGTCCTCTGATTGATAGTGAAGGTCAATCAAGTAGGTCATGTGTTAGTATCATGGTTGCAGTAGGTGCTAGGCGCTAGTCGGATGCCTGGACAGCGCCTAGCGCCTAGGCGGAATCTAGGCGGGCGCCAAAAAAACAGTGGTAGACTTGCAGTTTGACAATTTTAATGAGGTTGTTTTCAACATTTAATCAAATAACACATCCAAATAAATGAATTAATGATAATTCATAAGTCATAACATCAAAACAATGGTTAAAAAAAAACATTAAAACAATATTAAAAATTAAAAATACTCAAATATGAAATACTCAAATACTTCAATCATCCGAAGATTGAAAGTATCAAACTAGTCTATGAGTGTATATATGTCATATTATATATATGTATGCGCGTGCGCGCGCGCGCACACACACATATATATAATAAAAAAAAATAGGCCGAGCCGATCGGGTTAACTCGACCGAAATGGACGAGTTAACTCGACTAACTTAGACGCTAGGTGGCCAAATCGGCCGAGTTAGGCACTAAGCGGACGCCTAGGCGACCGGTAACCTAGGCGGGCGCCTAGGGGGAAATCACCACGGTCTGAAGGCGCCTAGCGCCTAGGCGGACGCCTAGACCGATTTTTACAACCCTGGTTAGTATATGTCAGACAACAATGGGAGCCTATGCAAGTTGGTCGACCTACCTATCAAGGCTAGTCGGGTCTCCCAGAAAGCTAATTATTACAAGTTTGAGACTCTAGCCCTATTATTCAGGTTAACGAATGAGTTTGGTTACTCTATACTCTATAATTCTATCAACACAAAAATATCGTATTGGTGCACGTTTTAATTTATCATTATTCATTCATTTGTCATCGGCATTCTCTAGCTAGACAAATTGTGAATTGGCAAGATAACATATTGTGATTGTATTGTACAATTATTAACTATACACTATAGAATAAAGAAGAAAATGGATGGATCATGCATGCACAGTGCATGGGGATTTATTAGAGGCTATGATAAAATCCCTACAACATATATCTCGAGATTGGAAAGGAGTGTCTAGCGAGGCCAAGGCACAAAAGACCCACAATCTTGGTGGTATACATAATTATAAGAACGTAAGAATATAATGATTCATTGTTGAAATAATATTTGATTATTGGTGTGTTGTGTGTTTGCGTATTCGGAGGGTTTGATGGAGTGATTGCCCCTCCACCACCCGACCATCTCACAACGTTAACGTAACAAATCTTGATCGCTAACATAGTTTCGTCGAATTATATCTTATACTCCATAAATTTGCTCCAAGATTCCTGATCTGGAAGAGGTAAATCTCAAGTTATTTAAGTGATTTCAAATTTTTCACTGTCTATATACTTTTGATTGATCAAAATTCACTAATAACTCTTAAGGCTCTCAGTCAGCCAGAGTCTAAAATCTCACCCTGTTGCTGAAACCAGGACTAAACATTGATTGAATGATTATTTGAGCTGATCTGGCGGGGCCTTCGCTTATTTTTCCTCCTTGGCTTTCATTATAATGTTTTTATTTTCAAAGATTCATCTGTTAGGATAAAATTAAATGGAATAATTGGACCACTGATCATCAGGGTCTCATCTGTATATCATGCATGTGTTTAAGGATAAGTTTCAACAACTTAACAGTACAGTTTGTTAGTTAATTAACTATTGGATTTTGTTGTCAGCTAGCCACGATGTTTAGGATGTTTGCCACGTTAATTTCATATTCTCTGCCAATGATCTCAAACTTATTGATAGCATGGAACCGCCCCTGATTTTATAGTTAGAGCTTCAATTTCTACTTTGTATAGTTACAAACATTTGACTTGTTTTTTTTTTTTTTGAAACAAACAGACCAAATTTCATTAATAACTCATTAAACCGGAAATACACGGAGGTGGGATCACGCCCCACGAACCTGAGACAACAAAGAAATAGTCGCCCGAGCTAATACATGAGCAACCTGATTCGCTGTTCTCTTGACATGTTGGACCTTAACAGACCCTATGTCGCTAGCAATCGACTGACATTGCTTAACCAACAACCCTACATATGAAAAGTCCAAATCATTCGAATTAAAAGCGTTACATAAAATTAAACAATCAGACTCTAGTATTATTGTGTTATGCCTAAGCCCTTTAAGCCAACTTAAAGCTTCTCTAGCCGCCATGGATTCTGCCATCAATGGATCGCATTCGCACGACAATCGGCCACTTTTAGCAGCCACAAAGCTACCAACGTGATCACGAACCACCGCACCATAGCCAACGCCACCAGGGAGGACCGCAGCATCGATATTGCACTTGAGAGAGCCTCGGGGTGGCGGGTTCCATTGCTGGGCAGCAACACCATCTGTCCCCCTTGTACGTTCGCTTGCATACGCCCCTTTCCAAACTAATCTCAATGCATGGACCTGTGACTTCATACCCTCGGCAGAAGGCACCATATTGCTCCAGACCACTGCGTTACGTGTTTCCCACACCACCCAGAAGATTGCAGCTAATTGGACTGCAACCTCTGCGTTTGGTGAGCTCAGAATTGAGTCCATAAACTCATGTATGCACTGCCCATGTGAAATGTCGTTCTCCTCCCATAGCCCTTGCGCATACTGGCAGCCGCAAAATAAATGCTCCGCCGTTTCCGCCACGAACCCGCATAGTGGACAACCCCCGCTTATCCAGACCCTTCTTGATTTCAGATTCTCACGTAAAGGCAATATACCACGAGCGCACCGCCATAAGAGGTTCTTAACCTTGGGCAGAATCGGAAGTGCCCACAATGACTTCCATGACCGGAAAGATTGGATATCCGGGCTTTGATTGTTGATCATAGTGAGGAGTCTGTAACCATGTTTTACAGTGTATATACCCCTTATATCGCCTAGCCATCTCCACGAGTCACTGAGGTGCAAATTTACTGGTGTTGCCATAATTCAGGATACATCCGCAGTGAGGAAAAGATCACGTAAAACTTCCCCATCCCAGTTGCCTTGTTCGTCCAAAAGACCACTCACGCGTGCCTCACCGAGTGCTTCAATTTTGGGTGAGCTCAGCTTAGTATTAACAGTGCTTGAAAGCCAGTCCCAACCCCAAATTTTGGTGTCCTGCCCATTGCCAATCCGTCTAGCTAAACCCAGTCGTAGAACCTTTTGACCGGCCACAATGCTACGCCATATATAACTTGGGTTAGCCCCAAGTTGTGCTTCCATGAAATCACAAGTAGGATAGTATTTGGCCTTTAACAAACGACCGACTAAAGATTCGGGATAAATCAATAGCCGCCATCCTTGCTTGGCAATAAGAGCTACATTGAATTCCCGGATTCGTTTGAAACCCAAGCCGCCCCTGTCTTTTGGTTCACACATCCGTGCCCAACTCAACCAATTAATACCCTTTCTTCCTTCCCCACCCCCACCCCACCAATAACGGTTCAGCATCTTTTCGACAGTGTCACACACTTTACCCGGCAGCAGAAAAATTGACATGGTAAAGATTGGCAAAGCTTGACAAATGCTCTTAATTAGGATTTCTTTACCTGCCCTGGATAAATACTTATTTTGCCACGATCCAATACGGTTTCGGATCCTCTCTTCAATGTACCGAAATGTAGCAATTTTGTTCCGGCCTAGAACCGAAGGAAGGCCGAGATAACGGCCCAAATCATCCGCTACACGTACCCCACACGTTCCGCCACTACGTTTCTCATCTCGGTGGTAGTATTCATGCTAAACACGGCATTTGATTTGTCGTAGTTTATTAGCTGTCCCGACGCCGCGCTATAAACATCGAGACATTCACGCACCCTTATAGCTTCATGTTCGTTAGCCCTGAAAAAGAGCAAACTGTCGTCAGCAAAGAAGAGGTGCGAGATTGGCGAGGCTCCTCGCGCCACCCTCACACTGTGAATGTCACCCCGTGCCTCCGCCTGTTGGAGGAGGACTGACAGACCCTCCGCACAAAGGATGAACAGGTAGGGAGATAAAGGATCTCCTTGCCTTATTCCTCTTGTGGGGCTGACGGAACCTATTGACTCCCCGTTCACTTGAATGGAGTAGTTAACCGAAGAGACACACAATAACAACAGGTCCACCCACTCCCGCACGAAACCGAGGGCCAACAACATGCCCTCCAAAAATATCCACTCCATTCTATCGTACGCCTTAGTCATGTCTAGCTTCAGCGCCGTCCACCCCACAATCCCACTAGTCTTTCTCCGTAAGAAGTGACCAATTTCCCCCGCCACGATAATATTATCAGCCAACAAACGTTCAAGGACAACAGCACTTTGTGTTTGCGACACGATCTGCCCCAAACAGCCCTTCAAACGGTTGGCCAACATTTTGGCCAAAATCTTGTAAGCCACGTTGCAAAGAGCAATCGGGCGTAAGTCAGTTACTTTCTCGGGATTCTTCTTTTTGGGTAAAAGGAAAATATTTGACTCGTTGAGTCCCCCAGGTAGCCTCCGAGTGGAAATACAGTTCAAAATAAAAACGGATAAGTCATGGCCAATCACCGGCCAAAAATGCTGGTAAAAGGCCGGCGACATACCATCCGGCCCCGGGGCCTTGTCCGGCGACATTGAAAACAATGCCTCTTTGACTTCTTGAACCGTGAACGGTTGCAATAGGGATGTATTCATCCCGTCTGTTACCCGCCTATGTACCCGGTTAAACAAGTCCGGATTACTGTGCTCGGAGTGAAAAATGAAATTGAAATACCTTAGAAGCTCCGCATGCATATCTGGGCCCTCTTTCCATTCCCCTTCCGTGTCTTTCACACGAGTCAGGCGGTTTTGTCTTTTCCGGCACGAGGCTGCTTTGTGGAAATATTTAGAATTTTGGTCACCATGTGCCAGCCAAAGCTGCTTAGACCTCTGTCTCCAGAAAAGTTCATCCTGTCTTAGTAAAACCCCCAATTCCTCTTCTGCCACCAAGAATTCTGAAATTGCACGTGGGTTTCTGTCTTCTTTCAGAGCCGCGAGCTTCTCTTTCAACACCCGTATCCGATTCCCGAATTGACGGTGATGTTCACCCCCCATCTCCAGAGTCGTTGCCCACATTCAGCAATCCTTTGTTAAAAATCCATTCCCATTGTTCGGCGCCAAGTTGCATCGACCACCCTGGCACACCCCTCCTCAAGCAGCCATGACGATTCAAATCTGAATGCCCTCCTGGCCGCCCTCACCGGCCTCGTGTTGAGATCCAGGAAAATGGCACAATGATCAGAATTATAAGTCCAGATATTTCGCACGTCTGCCTCCTCATACAGCTCCAGCCATTCTATCGTAGCCACGACTCTGTCCAAATGCTCCTCCACCCAATTATCCGTCCCCCTGCCCTTCTCCCACGTGAACCGGCCACCCGTCATCCCAAGATCAACGAGCTGGCAGTCTCCCAGGGCATCATTAAAACCCTCAATGAGAGTCCCTAGATGAGAATGCACACCCCTCTTCTCCGATTGGCATGTGATATCATTGAAATCGCCTAGGACCACCCAAGGAAGGGACGATCCCTTAGTTTCCGAAGGAGGTCCCAATTATCCTGCCTACTACCCCTGTCCGAATTACCATAAAAGCCAGTCAATCTCCACGTCGGTTTACCCGGAAGTGTTACCACCATGTCAATATGGTTAAGTGAATAACTTAACAGTGTTGCCATGTCAGTATCTCTCCAGAACAACGCCAAACCCCCACCCAAACCAACCCGTTCCACACACAACACCCCTTCGAACCCCATCTGCACTCGCAACCGCTCCACCTGCCCTTCGTCCGCCTTCGTTTCCGATAAGAAAACGAAACTGGGTTGCATCTTGGACACCAAGCCCAAGAGTTCACGAACTGTCCGGGTGCCACCCACTCCCCGACAGTTCCAGCTCAAGACGCTCATTGGGATGGGCGAGCCTAGCTCTCCAGACCCGCCGACGTCATGTTTTTTAAAGACTCACCCATCGCTACATCCACCCTCTGCACACAATCGTTGTCCTCCCTATCCCCCCTGCGTCTCTTCAGATCTCCGTGTAAACCGACACCCTCCTCTACCGCCATGAGAGATAGATTTTGGTCAGTTGCCGGCTCCATACCCATCGGTGAGGCCTGTGACACTGACGGCAATAACGAACGTGTGCCCACCGGCTTGGCTTGGCGACGCGGACCTGCTCGCATCCAGACTCCAAACGGGAACGCCTCCGGCTCCAGCCCTTCTTCGTAGACCCGCTTGCAAAATTTTTCTGTGTGCCCCAGTAGCCCACAACAGAAACAGAAGACACTAAATCTTCATAATTCTGCATGAATAAAATGACCGCTATCTATCCTACAACAAATATAATGGCAATGAAGGGTCTTTGTCCTATAATGAATGGTCATGAAGGTCCATACCATATAACAGAGGGGTTATGAATGGCCATAAATATATATTACTCCTCTTCCACTATAAAATGTTGTACAATCAAAGATGAAGATAGACAATGACACGAACACTACTCTCTTAGCGTTCGGCTCAATAAAACTGAGAGAAAAACTGAGAGAGACGATAATGTGTATGCTATTCTGCTAGGAGGAAAATTGAGTGAGACGAGGAAGTGTGAAAATTAAGATTTCAATTTTAGGGTTGATATATAATTGGTTTAATTTCATTTTGTAAATATGAAAACATAGTAAGTAAAAGTGAAATAATAAATAAATAAAAATGTGTGTGTATATATATATATATATATATATATATATATATATATATATATATATATATATATATATATATATAGAGAGAGAGAGAGAGAGGCTTGTAGTCCTATAAGTTAAACTTTAAACATATATGCCTAAGCCTATTTAGTTAAATAGGACGCAAAATAGGCATAGATCTGACCTCTTTACTAAATAGGCTAGGCTAATGTGGGCCTAAAATAGACCAAGTCGTAGGACCCTTGATAGGGGCCTAGTCTATTTCAGTCGTTATATCGTAGACCGCGGTGCACGCCGTTTCTTTAAGTAAAGAAACGGCCCGCCGTTACCGTTAACGGAGTCCGCATATTTAGTGTATTAAACACCAACTGATAATACAGTATATCTAAATCGGCACCGCCTAACGACAAATGAAACTGCAGTTATATCAATATGATACTGTAGTTGTGGTGAAGTGAAACTGCAGTGTATATAAAATGAAACTGAATAACATTTCACATATTTGAGTATATATTGTACAATGAAGCTGTAATTATATCAAAATGATCATGTAGTTATATTTTAATAAAACTATAGTGTATATAAAATAAAGTTAAATAACATTTTCACATATTTGAGTCTATAAATATCGAATGAAACTGTAGTTATATCGAAGTGAAACTGTAGCTGTGTTGAACTGAAACTGCAGTGTATACAAAATGAAACTGAATAACAGAGTTACTTTTTGCGGAAGGGTGCCGAACGATGGGAAACGGAGGGGACATCGTTTTGATGCGCGGTGCATGATCGATCATGCACCGCAGTGCACGATATAATTTGCCAGTCTATTTCCACTTCAGTCGTTATATTGTGGACCGCGGTCAAAACGACGCCATTTTTTAAGGGTGCGTTTGGAAACCCGGAAAATGACTTATGAAAAATGTTTTTCGAGTTTCCAGTGTTTGGCAAGAGGGGGGGAAATGAGGTCAATGAAAAATGATGCATTTAGTACAGTCAAAGGAAAATAGGTATGTTTTGGGGGAAAATGACTTCCCCTTTTTTTTTGGCAATCGTTATGCTATGGACCTGTGTCCAGCATGCAATATGGACACGGTAACGGTGCCATTAATGGCACTGTTATCTTCCACTTTTTTTTTTTTAATTTTATTTTAAATTTCAGACCACTTTGTTATAGGATCATATGTTCATAATTTTATTACTATATGTTCATAATTGTAAGTTCATAATGTCAGAGCTCTGTGTTCATAATTCCAT